GTTCAAATCTGTCAAGGTCCTTTTGAATCTTGAGTTTGTATTTTGATGACTCAATAATCCACCCTAGCTTTGTGTCATCATTGATTAGCATTCCTTCAACTCCTTCATCTTTTATGAAAATGTTCAGGAGCACTGGGCCCAGGAGAGAACCCTGAAGCACTCTACTGGCTTCTTGCCTCCATGTAATCATAGAAGACAAGAATCATGTGGCAGCTACAGTTATTCAGTCTGTTGTGAATTTAATTATTTGGTGTTGTGACCAATTATTTCGTATTGTTTGACTTTATCAAAGGTCTAGTGATGGGAGGGAGGGAGGGAAGGAAGGAAGGAAAAAAAATATTTTTTTGGCATGACCAGCTTTACAAATCCATGCTTGTTTCTCTAATATTTTTCAAATGCTTGCAAACCCATCCTATGATATTTTGTAGGATTTCCCCAAAGTGCTGCTCTCAAGCTGATTGGTCTGACGTTTCTTGGATTGACATTTTTTTTCATTCGTCATTGTTTATAACTGTGGAAATATTTTGATCACTATGAAATTGTTTTGATGGGCTCAATCCAACCAAAGTTAAGCATTTAATATTTTCCACACATTCCAAAGGCAAACTATTAGGCATTTAATATTTTCAAATATTAATATTAAATTAATATACATTTGAAAATGGGAAAAGTGAAGCCATAACAACATCCACATTAAGGAATGGGCTTTATTCTGCGGTAGAACCCTCCCAAAGAAGTTTGAGATTTTGAGAAGTCCTCCTTATTTTTTTTCCATCTGTTCCTCACCATTTTTTCCGCCTCCTGAGAGGCCAGAATATTCGACCCGCTGCCTTTTGTAGAAATTCAACCCGGCTGCAATTACTGCCCCCCCCACCCCCCAAAAACCCTTCACTCCGACTCTCGGCGAAGGCGATCTAATCCTTCTTCCGGCCCCTCTTGCCAGCTTACTTCCATGCCTGTGGGAGAACCGAGTGGTGCTGCTGCCTGCGAAGGATCCATCCAGCTCTTCGCGTGGAGACAAGGTGTGAAAAGGGATTGATGCGTCACTTGTGGAAAAAGTCAAAGCCGGGACGCGGTCTCTCTAGGGCAGGGGCCCCCAACCTTGGCTACTTTAAACCTGGAGGACTTCAACTCCCAGAATTCCCCAGCCAGCTGGCTGGGGAATTCTGGGAGTTGAAGTCCTTCAGGCTTAATTAAAGTTGCCAAGGTTGGAGGCCCCTGCTCTAGAAGGGAGATGTGAGAGACAAGGTTTCATTTAAAAAAAAAGGGGGGGGGTTAAAGGGTTGGTTTTAATTTCTGTTGCTTGCTTCGAAGTACAACCCGGCTGAGTTTACACAGACTTTTTGTCTGTTCTGCTTCGCTTGGGTTCATGGTAGGCTATAATCCGGCGGTCTATTGATCGCCCCAGTGCTTATTCCAGGCCAGAGAAAGCCCTAAAGGCGGCGGCGGCGGCGGATTTAACCTGAGGCCCATTTCTTTCCCGCAGCGGGGTCGTCCTTCCGCCGTCGAGCCCCGGGAGAGTAAAGCCGAGCGGCCACTGAACTAGATAAACAAGGACTTAATGATGCAAAACGCTAACAGTGGAGACGCGGGTCATTAGGCCCGAGCACAGAAACGGAGGTGGGGCAGATCTGAAGCCGGGCTGGAAAGGCAAGCTTGGCTAGGGAATCGGGTCTCTTCTTTTCAACCAGGTTTAGAATAAACTCGGGGCTCCCCGGGACAGCTCCGGGCAAGGAAAGAAAAAGCGAAGGGGCGCTTGGGCGAGGGTCTGAGCCGAAGGGATCCTGTGAGCGAAGCCAAAAGGTTGCCGTCCGTCCCAGCGGGCTTCCTTGACCGTCGGGAGTCCTGGTATGAAAAGGACGGGGAGTGAGTGGCAAAGGTGTGTTGCACCTGGGGAAGCAGGTAGCGAGGCTGCAACCCTATTTCAACCCTGTTTCAACTCAAAACGACGCTATAGAGCACTGCACACCAGAACAACCAACCAAACACAAGGAGTTTTCCCCCCAATGCCATCACTCTGCTAAACAAATATTTCCCTCAACACTGTTAAACTATTGACTAAGTCTGCATTAGTATTACTATTAATACTCCCATCCTTCCTTTCACTCATCTCCTCCCACTTATGACTGTAACCTGTTGCTTGTATCCTAACGTTTTCATTGACTGTTTCCTAGTATGATTTGATTATTTTTTGTATCCTATGATTATTATTAAGCGTACTTTATGATTCTTGATGAATGTATCTTTTTTTATGTATACTGAGAGCATTTGCACCAAGACAAATTCCTTGTGTGTCCAATCACACTTGGCCAATAAAGAATTCTATTCTATTCTATTCTATTCTATTCTATTCTATTCTATTCTATTCTATTCTATTCTATCCTATCCTATCCTATCCTATCCTAAAGGCACCAGGAAGAAAGGAAGCTCTACCCTGGAAGATAATTTATTTCTAAACCGGAGTCCAGAGCCCCTCCCCATGATTCTCAAGGTCCTGCATTTGGACACGATTCAGGCCTTGCTTGAGTCCTACCTATGCAGAGAGGCAATGGGATAAGCAGGATCGCAACTGTAGAGGCAGGGAAGCCTTCCCCCAAAACCCTATAGGAAAAAGATCAATAGAGTTTAATTAAGTTTGGGAATCTTTCTGCTCCTTTACAAGACCAGAGATTCCCCAGGCCAAGAGAGAGGGGGAGGGAGGAGAAAAACTGCACTGATGCAAGGAAAGGAGAAAAGAAGTGGTCAATTCAAATGATTCCTCCCCCTGGGGCTTTCCAGGGCTTGAATAGAGAACTCCATCATTGGACCTTGTCAAGACACTTGTCAAGATAACTTAGGAGCTAAAAGTCATTGGCCATCAGAGTATTTGCTCCAGAGTAAAACGTGGCTTGATTTGTGCTGCAAAATTACCCACTCCCTCCTGCATGCACACACAAACACAAATTGCACATGGCTCTACTGAAGGGCCTTTGGTTCAGTTGAGTGCTGCACCACAAGAGATGGCCCCATATGACTCTCCCTAGGCCAGGCTGCTGCTACTTTCTGCCTCAAGCTCTCCAGCAACCCCTTTTTGGAAGAAGAGCCTATCAGGCTCTGCCAGATGTGGAACTCCTCCTCTGGCTGTAGAGTTTAGCTTGCATGTTGAACATGGTTGGAGTCTCAGTTCCTCTAACTCAGGGGTCTCCAACCTTGGCAACTTTAAGCTTGGCAGACTTCAACACCCAGAATTCCCCAGCTGATTGGGGAATTCTGAGCGTTGGAAGTCCGCCAGGCTTAAAGTTGCCAAGGTTGGAGACCCCTGCAAATCTAACTTGCTGTGGTGAGAAACGGGAAGGGCTCAAATGAGAAATGTGTCTCCAAGTGAAGGGGCAAAGTTTCCCCTTCAGATGCTCCATATGTTCCAGGCACCATTTTTAAACCAGTTTGTTGTTCAAGCCATCTTGCTGTGCTCTAGGTACCATAATGGCTGAGTTGCACATATGAAGCAGCCAAAAACAAACACAGAGTTTTGGCCAGGAAGGCTCCCTGCTCTGTTGAGGGCAGTCCTGCCAGGGCTATGTGGTGGGGAAGAGGAAACCAGGTCTTTCTGAGGAACTGGGCAAAAGAAAAGCCCCACCCTCCACCCAGGTGAGGAATTCTACCCAGGACTCTCACTTATCTTACTCAGCCAAGGAGAATCTCAGGATAGGGGAGTTATAAGGCTACAGCCCATCCTTTACCTTTATTTTCATTCAATTAAAAAAAAAAAGACTTGTTCCTCTAGTGTAGGGATCCCCAACCTTGGCCACATTAAGACTTGTGGATTTCAACTCCCAGAATTCTCTTAGCCAGAGGAATTCTGGGAGTTGAAGTCCACAAGTCTTAAAGTAGCCAAAGTTGGAGACCTGCTCTAGTGTGTGCTTACTAGGAAGAATGTATCAACGTGCTAAACCAAGGGTCTTCAAACTTGGCAAGTTTAAAACTTGTGGACTTCAACTCCCAGAATTCCTGAGCTAACATGACTGGAGGAGGAATTCTGGGAGTTGAAGTCCACGTCTTAAAGCTGTCAGGTTTGAAGACCCCTGTGCTAAACCAAGATTTGGAAAATAAATTAGTACTAAGTGAATTCCCACAATACCCAAATTGTAGTTACATCTGAAGTACAGCATATGATCCTAAGCAAACACATAGCTTAGCACAGTGTGAGAATGAGGCTGTTCAATGCCTTAGTTTGTTGACTTAAATGTGCATAATGGGTGAGGGGGGGCTTGTTATGGCCCTCCTGCTAAATGACCAATTGCTTTTGCATGCACACAGAGAGCTTCTGCTTCCTTGTGTGCCTAATCACGCTTGGCCAAATAAAATATTCTATTTCTCCCCCATAAAGACCAGCAAAAATATCAATGCGTATAATATTCAGTTACTATATGTGATATGAATTCCATATTAAGTCAATGCCATTATTAGGCCAACATAGGTTTACAAAACGGTGCTCATATTTCAGAATTCTCTTCATCAAACAAGGCCACTTCAAAACAGGATAAACAAACAGAAGAAATCACCATGAATTCCAGCTGCAGCTAAGACCGTAACCTGCCACAGACATGGACCAAACACCAACCTCATTTCCTCCGCAGTACCTTTTAAGGTGCACTGCCTAATGAACAGGAAATTCAAAAACTTGTTTTGTAAGCTCTACCTGCCCACCCCACAAAAGAGGGGGAATTAATGTTTATTCTCTCTGAATAAAGATTAATTTGTCTTAAGTGAGGAAGAAAGAGAAAAAAAGAGCTCCAAAATATCCTGGACTTTTTTGCTTGAAGAAGAGACTGTCTACTTAGGAGGTCTTATCTCCCAGTACTCCTGTACAAGGCCTTCACTGAAACATGGGGAAATCCCTCTGGAGTAAATAAATTTAGCCCCCAACTTGAATGACTTTTAGGCATAGAAAGAGTAGCAGGAGAGGGTAGGGGAGAGCAGAGAATACACATTGACTATTATCCAGTTATAAATAACATTAAGAGTCTTTATCAGTCTTATCAAGTTTAATTTAGATTTCTGTGGGTACAAGAAACCTGGAAATGAAAGCACATGCTACTAGCGGTAATCAAATTGCCAGTTGATTTCTCAAGCCAAACTATATGGGAAAAGGACAAAGAGAGACAGACAGAAATAAAACCTAGAAAAAGAGTCTGGATTTTGAAAGATGTCCAGGTAAGTGGAACAACTTTTGTTGTTGCTATTATAAAAAAAAAATCACACAGATTCATTTCCAAAATTCACTGTAAACAGAAAAATCACTGACATGAAATTACTCTCATAAAATTTTAATCTAACATAAAGGGCTCACACCTCTGCATTAAGACATAGGCACTTAACATTCTTCAGCTAATACTGCATCATTTTTCCTGTTTTTTTAAAGCTACTTCAAAATCTTTTCAGAAATCTAAACCTGGCCAAAAAGAAAAAAAATGTAAACTTAATTTGCCCTCTCCAAATCTTTTTTTTTAGAATTAATTTTTGGTACTTTATACCTTCTATTTATTCCCCCAAAATTCAAGCCAAAATTCAACCCACCACCACCACCTATTAAAATATATCACTAAGTCCTCAGTGAAAAGTAAGGGTCCCTTCCTGTATGAGCTGCATTACAAGCCCCATTTAGCAAACCTCTGAGGAAGCATGCCTGGATTTGCTTTGTCAGCTTCACTTACTTTAATGGGCCTTATTTTTGAGTAAGGATGCTTAGGATTCTGCTATAAAATATTTGCCTTCTTGTCCTCTTCTACAGCAACAAAAACAAGAGAGAGGACACAGTCCAAGTTAAAATCCACAGTGCTCAAATCTCTCTTTGAAAGTGATGGAATCTAAGTGCTTAACCTGGCTTGGTGATGCTCCTTGTCCTTTTAAGTAAAATGCAACAACCTGTCATTCCAACTCAGGAAAGATTAAGTAAGTGGGAAAGGATGCCATGGAGGGATGTCACCCAGGGTTGCCCCACAAATGCATTGAAGGGTGGATGTTCTCTCTGTGTTTGGCTACCCATAAGATGGTTTCGCCAGAGAGGTGTTGCATCAAGAGAAATGGAAACGGGATGATACAGAAGCGATTTTTAAAAGTCATTTTAAAAATCACCAGGAACATTCTGAAAAAAATAAAACTAAAACAAAATTAGGGTTGTGGGGACGGGGAGGAAAAAAAAATGTATGACACAGTTCCCTTATTTACAGGCCCCACCTTGCGTGGGGGGACAAACTCATGAGCCCAGGTCCACCAAGCTGGAGGTGAGAGGGCCTAGGAGGGATTCCTGCAGCTGATGTTGGTGAGGCTGGAGGCCGTGGGCTGGCTGTGAGGCAGTTAAGCCGGTCAAGGAATAGCTGGAGTTCCTGGCATGGCTCAGGTTGCCCTGGAGCAGGAGAATGGAGTTCTGATCCGGACTTTGGGGAGGTGAAAACTCCTCTTCGGAACTGGAGATGAGTGGCTTGGCCGCATCCAGAGGAGACAGCTGGTTCTGTTTGTTGGTAGATGTATTGTTGTTTTCAGTGTTTTCTCTGGGAAGGGAGAGGAGAAAGGAGAAATTAGTCAAACTGGTTACAAAATGGAGTGGGGAGGCGGAATAGTAATCCTAGAAAAGCCTTCCCCAATCTCGAACTCTACAGGCAAGTTGGGTGCTACACATCCCGGAATTCCTGGCAAGACCCCAACACATCTGGAGGGTCACAGATTGGAGGAGACCGGTCTAAAGGCATCTTGGCATCTTGTCCATAGAACAATTTTCAAAAAATCCACTCTAATGTAAATGTAATTCTCGGATGCCTGCAAAATTTCAGCCCTAGGGAATAAACCCTTTGGATGGAACTTTCTACGCTTTTAAAAAGTCTCTTTCTCTAAAATTATATTTTATACATAAAAACCCCGCCAACTTTAGATAGGATGACATCACAATACATTTTTATTTCCCCCCAAGACACTTGTCTCCCTACTCTGCTTACTTGCAAAGAAAGATACATAGAATTCTTGCAGTACGTATAAAAGAATAACAGAGGTGGAAGGGACCTTGGAGGTCTTCTAGTCCAACCCCCTGCTTAGGCAGGAAACCCTACACCACTTCAGACAAATGATTGTACAATCTCTTCGTAAAAACTTTCAGTGTGGGAACACCCACAAGTTCTGGGGGCAACTTGTTCCACTGATTAATTGTTCTAACAACTGTCAGGAATTGAGCTGTTCCTTCTGTGATTCACACCACATAAAGTTATATTGTGTTCAGGGAGAGTTGCTGTCACACAAGAACACTGCATGAATGTGTTTAGAAAATTAATACGAGCCTACTGTATACCTGTCTAATTCTTCTATTGGGAAATGAGTCTTCCTGGAATTGGAGAATTTTAGTGATTTAATTTATCATTTAATTAATCTAATTGCCATATTGCCATTAGCACTAATTAGTGTTTGATTAGCACGATTACACCCATTGTTTCATTATCTTGGGGTTGGGAAGAGGAAATGGCTTCAATCTGCAGGATGAAAACACAAAAACTTGTCCTGAACAAGCCAAACTTGTGAAAGCCTTCAGCCACTTGCTGAGATCCTAAAAGCAGCTGTCTTGGAGGGGAGCCCTAGGAGGGAACAAGAATTGCTTCAAAATTATTTGTAGTTGGATTAAAAACAGGGCAACCGAAGTAAAAGGGGACGCAAAGAAAATGTTTTTGAAATACAGAATTGTATGAAACCATACGTCTAGGAAATAATCATCTTTCAAAAAACAAAACTGAAAATCCACCTATGCTCCAGCCTCAGCCCATTGTAGGGCATTGTGCCTAAAAATGAGTCCTGCTAATATCTTATTTCCAGATAATTGTTTACAGAGTTGAAATCACTATGAGACATAACTAGCAAATTCCTCGATTAAGAAGACTTTTATGATGGTGTAACCCCTGTACTGTGTTGTTATATAATGTTAAATAACTTACAAAAATATCATTTAATTTTTTAAAAAATAAATCCATTAACTTTTTTTTTAAGAAATAGAAAGCTAGGAAAGAAAGTTTAGAGTCATGTCTGCCATTATATGTTAAAGTTTTCTTGGGGGAAAAAAATCCCTCTCCCAGGTTAAGAAGTTACTTCCAAGGAAAAGAAATCTCAGAAGGCAACTTTTCTCCATACCGAAGTCTAAATCAGGAATGAAAAACGCTCCCTCTTTCTTTCTTCTGCAAGCCGACCAAGAGGAAAGTCTTCCTGCCCGAACTAACCCGATTCGGGCATCCGAAGGAGCTTAGATCTGAGATCTAATTATGCCTTCGGGTGCCACAACAACACTCCTCATTTTCATACGTATCTTGGCGGGAGAAGGAAGGACTTGGGGAGCTGAAGTTGGCGCCCTCCAAACGGCAGGGGTGGCGTTATGGATCCTGAACACTTGATCTTACAACTTTGGGGAAGTTAGTAGCGGGGGTGGGATGGGGAAGGAAATCGCCCTTTATTATTCAGGTCGCAGAAGACATTCTGGGTTTATACCATCTAGGCTCCAAGAGCGTGTAGCTGGAAGGCAGTAACATTGCATTCTTCGGGTTACTCCCAAACCCAGAGACCCGCTGTTTTCTCATCTCCGCTTTAACGACTTTTGAACCCAGGCGAAGATGCAGATCAGCCGCGGGAGCCTATTGGGAAAAACGGCGGAGTCGCCCAGCTGCGGGAGGGCCAGTGATCACGGGAGCTTCTTGGGCAATGGGGTGGAAGGCTGGCCGGTTGCTCCTTTTGAAACCAGTGGCTTTGGTGGGCCTCCCTTGCCCAGCTTGCGCCCTTGAAGACGGGCTGCCAAACCGTGTACCTGGGGACGTTGCGCCTCCGATTAAACCGACTTCCCAAAGAGAGATTTAAAAGGCAGGGAACGAATCTCAGAGGCGTCGCCAACGAATTTAAATTCTTCGCCCTTTGGGGGCACATTCTGCAAGGCTTACCTTCCCCGCCGGCCAGTGTCACCCTTGCAGGTGTGAGTTATTTTAAGAAAGAAGTGCAGAGAAGTGGTGGGCTAGGCTTGGCTTTTCAAGGCAAGGCAATCCGCCTCTTGGATGGAGAGAAGGCGGCCTAAAGTCCCCTGCCTCCGTTCATCCCCAGGCTGCGCTGCCAGTTTTGCGCCGCATCGATTGCAATATCCCCAGAGGGATCCGAATCTTGCAAAAGTGGTGCGGAGCCCAGCGGTCTTGCTCTCCAAGCGCGGTCGCCTAAGGCGCTTGAGTGGGGGGGCTGGATCGTGTCCATGGCTCCAGCGGGAACCCAGAGGCTTCTCGGAGGGGGGAGAAAAAGAGCAAACAAACAAACAAACCCTTTCTCGGGTCTTCTGCAGAGAAATTGACTCCCCCTTCCCCTCAGGACTCCACCATTTGGTTGCCCGTTTAGAGGGCTGCGCTGACCTGTCGCAGACCGAATGAGGCTGGGCATTAGCAACGAGCTGCTTCGCCTTTTAAGGTGTTAAATTGTCCAGAACAAGCAAAGGTACAGTCTCTATAGAGCTGACAGCCCGGGAGAAATGCAACTATTTTTAATCGTGGGATTTTTTTTGAAAGCAAACAAATTTTAAGACCGTTATTTCAAATAACGCATTTATCTGGTTTCGAGGGGGGCGGGCGGATTCCGAAAAGTTAACACTGAACTGGCAGTTTATCCAGCTTTAAAATAAAACGAGATTGACAGGGCGTCTGAAGACGCTGTCAGATGATGGAATCTCTCGTTTCTACGATTCCATTTCCTACCTCTCCCGTTCACAGGACCCTAGTATAATGTGTGGGATGAGTTCTTTATCAATGAATAAAATGTACGTGCTCTTGGTGAAAAGTAGCTCAGCTCTGCAACAGATGTTTCCAGACACGGAAAGTTGGAGTACCAGGCTCCCTGTATTTACTCCGAAATTAAAGTCTACTCCGGCTGAGTCCACTACCCTTGAAAATGCTAGAATTTACGTATAAAAATGCCTCTGGCTGTAGCCCGAGCACGCCTGCGTTTATTGTGAGTTCGCGGAAATTGTCCACCACGGTGCGCACATTGAAGGATTTTGGGCCCAACACGCGACATTCTCTGCTTCTAACCCTTTTGTATTTTTCTGCTCAAGAACCTCGCCTCTACTTGTTTGTGCCCAGGACTTTCCAGCTGTATCCGAACTATATCGACGGTCTGAATTCCTTCTTCGGGCGAACAGTATGTCCTGTCGAAGGGAAGAGGGTTCTGCAACGGTTCCGAAATATAAGGCGCGTAGCGTCGTCATCTCTGAAGCCAACCGCGTCGTCCCCTCGGGGAATCGCCTTGGTGGAATCCGCGCTCGCCGTTGTAGAGAAAGGGGCTGCTTTCCAGAGGCCATCCACGAGAAGAAGGGCGTGAGGCTGTTCCCCCCTCCACCAAATGATCCAGTCCGCAGAGATTCGAAGATTAAAAAAAAATAAAAAAAGATCGAAAGAGCCACGGCCGGCGAGGCAGCCTAAGGTCCCTTCCTGCCTTCCTAGGCTGCAGTCCGCCACCATTTACCGCTGCCACAGGAACTGTGTGGCTCATCCTGGCGGTATAACCCCTGGTTCCCGGTTTTCCTTTCCAGGCTGCGCTTGGCAATTTCAGCAACTTGAAACCTCCAACGGAACAAGTTGAACATCTTGGGGCCTCCCTTCTCCCACCCTTGCCATTGTTCCAGCAGCAAATCGGGCACCCTGGCCTCCTTCAATCTGGCCTTGCCCAGACGTGAAGGGACTAAAATCTCCAGAATTCCCAGGTAAGGAAGCGGTAGCTCCTCCAACACATCTGGAGGACATCAAGTTGATAAAAGTTGTTGTGGTTTGTTTGGTTTTTTTTGCCTCTCTCCGTACCCACTACTCACCCTCCTCTCTTCACACACACTTGTTCCTCCCTCCGGGGGTCAGTTGGTATCATATTGAAGAAAACTGTGGGCCCAGCCTCAGAGGGGTAAGATCTGGAAATAAAGGTCCCTGGATTTCACCAAGAGATCTTGGAACAAATCTTGGGTGGGGAAGGTCTGGGACCCATCAGTGCGACTGACACCCTAATCCTAAACACATGTAAACCATCTTAAAGTTAAGCACTTCTATTTAACTGGGGGGTGGGTGGGGGTGGAGTGTGGCTCTGGCTGAGTCTGATGGAGAAGGAGAAGGGAGCCGGTTTCCCCGCTGCTCTTCCCGAGTGGCTTTTTTCTTCTTCTTCTTCTTAGCACCAGGTGACCACGTCCCCTCTCTTGCCTTCCAGGTGACAGAAGGCTGAGGAGGCTCTGGCCCAGAGGGAGGTCAGCCGAGTTCCTCCGAGTTCCAGGAGTGACGCAAAAGCAGGCTTAGGAGTCCAGGCTGGAAGTATCCCCAGAAAAGCCTCTGGGCCTTTTCTGGAAATGACCTCCCCAATCTAAACTTTAGCTGCCTTAAAAAGCCAGAAAGACAAAGCAGCCCCTTCAAATCTTGTGGCCTGTCTTCTAAGGTACCCTTTCCTGGGGAGGCTGCAGTGCTGAGTGGGAGGAGGGCATCCTATTCTCCTCCTTTGCCGAGTTTTAAAATCACAACATCTAAACTGGACATGCAGTTGAGAGACCCCCGTCTTTTCTTTCTGCTTGATGACCACCACTACTACCACCATCGACCGTCAGGGAAATGTTGCTTGCACACTCACTTTCTGTTTTTTTTTACATTTGGCTTTCAAATAATGTCCTACTAGAGCACAACAAGCCAGGCTGGAGAAGTTGATTCTAGTAGAAACACTATAAAGAGCTATAAAGAGAGAAATCCTACTTGAGGCCATTATTTCTGGCTGCCAAGGGAAGATTTCCGTTCAAGATTAGGAGGCAGGCATTCAGTATATTCCCAGCAGAATAGGTGGAGTTGGGAAGCAATTGGCAGCATGGGGGGGGGGGGGGGAGGGGGGAAGAGCCGGAAAAATGGGGAAAGAGAATGGGAAGGAATCAGGGGTGGACTAATGCTGGGGGTTGGGGTGTGTGAAGACTATGGGGGGGGGGGGACAAAGACATGAAGTCTTTGGGGAGCAGCCCAAAGACTCCTTTGGGGTCCTCCTTTGGGGAGGCTGCTTTGCTTGGCTGGATCCTCCCAGAACAAGTCTAACAGTCTTCTTTTTGCGCTATATGTTGGAGCAGCACCTGGGGGAGAGGGGAAGCACTAATGAACCTTAAGAAAAGGTTTATATTCTATTATGAGATGGTGTAAACAAAATGAAGGTGGGTATCATTCCTCTTTTCTCTCTGCATGGAAGTCTGAGCGCCCATTCCTGAACCCATCAATTCCAGCGCATTTCAAAAGACACACGTCTCTTTAGGGTCTCCAGGCAAGGCAGGGATGGTGGCGGTGGGGAGACAGTGTAAATGCTCTGAACTGAGACCTCTCTAGCTCTGCTCCGTATTTAGAAACAAAGGCTGGACAGAACGTATCCAGCCTGTGTGTCCCCCTACTTAATTGGATTATGATTCCCATCATTCCCGGCCGGCTGAGGGGTTTGGAAGCTACAGTTCCACACATCTGGAGGGCACCAGATGGAGCTCTAGCGGTTCCATCCGATTAAAGCTCAGGGCCCGCTGGCTTTTTTTAGGCACGAGGGTTAACTACGCAATTGATCTGCCTCCTTACAGGCACAGCTATTAAACTAAAGCGCTGTTGGCTTCACGGGACACTTGCGCCTGGGTAAGTAGGATCGTGGGCTAGTCCCTTGGAAGTTAATGGTGCAAGGAGGCGCGGTGAAATCGTTGCTTAGCAAACCGGCCGACGGGAAGAACAACAGAGCTTTAGCGAAGGCTCGGTCCTTCCAACTGGCGCGGTCCAAGGCGCTGACCGGGGTCAACCGAAGCAAGGCCTACTCGATTTGCCCAGTTGCTTACTTTGATATAGCGCCCCCTCCCCCTCCCGGATGAGCGCAAGGGTTGGGTTCATACAACCCAAAGCCCCACGCGAGCCAAACATGCTACAGCCCGTAAGGCGGTGAGACACCCACGCCAGTTACCAGCGCATCAGCACCTCATATTATTATCGTTACTATTCCACTTTCTGGCAACGGGGTCGTCCTTGCCCATATCTACCTCGGCCGAGGAGCCTAAGGTTCTTCGCGTTGAAGGAAGCCCCCCCGCCCCCCGGGGGTTCGGCGGAACCTGCCCCAAAGCCCCTTCCCCCGAGAGAGCAGCTGCTCTTGGGCCCGCCGAGATCTCTGTCCCCCAGAAGAGCCCGAAGCACAAGCAGAACCCACCTCTCTTTCGCCTCTGCCGCTCGGTCGCGCTGCCTCCGGTTTTTAAACCAGTTGCTAACCTGGGTGGTGGTGAGGCCCGTGGCTTCGGCCAACTCCCTCTTCTCCCGGGGCGACGGGTAAGGATTGTGAGCGTACCACTCCCGCAGGACGCCCCGGGACTTCTCCTTGAAGCAGTAGCTGGTCTCCTCGCCGTCCCAGATAGTCCTGGGCAAAGGGAATTTCCGCCGCACGCGGTACTTGCCGACGGCACCCAGCGGTCGGCCCCGCAGCTTCTCGGCCTCCACGTAGTGCGCCTTGAGCCAGAGCTGCTGGAGTTTGGGGTGGTTGTGCGGCGAGAACTGGTGGCTCTCCAGGATCTTGTAGAGCTCGCGGAAGTTGCCCCGGTGAAAGGCCACCACTGCCTTGGCTTTCAGGACGCTCTCGTTCTTGTGCAAGTGGTCGCACGCGGGCAGCGACCAGAGGAACCTGCCCAGCCGCTCCAGGTTGCCGCCCTGCTGCAAGACCTCGCAGACGCACGCCACTTGCTCCTGCGTGAAGCCGAAGGACGGCAGCATCGACATGGCTCCGGGTCCGAAGCTGCTCCTGCGCCGCCGCCGCCGCCGCCGCCGCCGCCAACACCCCTCAGCCCAACTGCCGCGGGCTTAGCTGGCCGAAGAAAGCGCGGGGAGCGGGCGGGCGGGCGGGGGACAGTTTCCCGAAGAAGAGCCGGAGGAAAGTGGCGGAGCGCCGTCTCCGGCGGCTCATCCAGGGCCGGCGGGAGCCGCGTCCGAGCGCCCCGAAAGAACGGCCGGGGAGCGGGGGGGCAGTCAGCCAGCCGGGACCCAGGAGAAGGGAGCGTTAGCCCTGCGCGGCAGAGGGAAGCGGAGGCGGCGGCGAGGAAATGGATGCTCTCGGCGAGTTCCTGCTGCCGGGGAAAGTTTTGCTTGGGGTCCTCCCGCAGCCAGGCTTAAAGCCGCCTCGGTGTCCGGGCTCTTCTGATTGGACGCTTCCAGCGCCTATCGGAGCGCGCGCCCACAGTCCAAGCGGCGGCAGCGGGAGGCAGAGAGCGAGCAGGCGAGCGGGCGGGCTGGGAGGCGGCCGCCCCGAGGCAGTCTGGCCTCAGCCTGGCGCTGAAGGGAGCTTTTGCGGCGGGGCTGGGCTCGCTCGGAGCTCGGAGGCTCGGACGCTCTGCTTGGAGCCGAGCGACGGACTGCCGGGGAGAAGGAAAACGAGCAGCTCGAGGTCTCCCCACCTACCCACCCACCCCTCGTCTCTCTCATCTGCCCTCAGAAAGGAGACGCGTCAGGAGCTTGCAAGAGGAGCCGCTTCTCAAGTGTCAGCCAAGGGGAACGAAATTCTGTGCAAATCAATTATTGCAGGCTTTAAAAGAAGAAGAAGAAGAAGAAGAAGAAGAGGCCAACACCCACCGTCAGCCAAGCCAGCTCACCAACCCCACCCCGTCTTTCCCCTCCTTTCCTCGGCCCATCACTTTGCTGGCTACCCATCCATCTAACTCTCCAGCCAACCAACTGGCCTCCTTCTTCTTTTTCAAAATCCGCTCGTTCCCGGTGAGCTCATATTTAATTACCTTAATGTTGTGAATGAATAAATGATGCCCCAGATGAATAGCTTATGGTATGCACTAAATAATTAAAAGAGCCTCATAACTTTGTCCTCAGAGGATGGGAGGTGCTGATTTTCCTAATCATAAAATTAATAATCATTCAGAACCAAAGGATTGATGGATTAAAACTGTTGATTCCAACCTTTAAATATAGGCCCTGTGGCTAGCACCAAGCCAAGGGGTGTGGAGCATGGCTCCCAGAGTCCTTTGCATGCAAACTGGTGGGCCTTGAACGAGTCAAGGTGCTGGTTGCTCTGGCAATAACACAAGCAGAACCACAGAGGCACTCCGGAATTAATGTGCTTGAGGTGTTCACCAGCAGAGACTATTTGGATTTGGTTGACTTTTCTTCCCATAATTCCCAGCTGGTAGGGAACAGAAGGTTGCCCAGATCATGGTGCTGCCTGCCTTCTCATAGCCAGACCCAATTGGTTCCTTAGGCCTGGGAAGAAGCCTCATCATCAGGTGCTTTTTAGGGTATGCCCTCCCAATAAAATTGTAGCTTTTCCAGGTTTATCTGGGAAAGTGAATCCATAGAAATTGGAAGATTGGCCTCCTGTGAATAACATTTTGGGCTGAATAACACAGCAATGTTAATGGGCAGAGCAAGCAGGAGGAATTGAACAAGAATCTAGACCCAGGTCAAATTCTTAAGTTCATGAAGCTTGGAGTCAGTCACTAACTGGCTTCACTATCACACGTCTTTGGTTTTGACTGTTGTGTGAACTCAGCCTTGGGTTTATTAACTGTGGCTAGACAACGTAGTTGTGATATGTTTAAGAAGGGATAATTAGCCAGACATGGTTTGTGATGTCATCTCCACTAGGTAAATCAGACCAGGAAACCAAAACTATTTTTATTGAGATTTGGCTGTAATAACAGAATCTGGTTGTGTTCTGTCTGTCTTCTCCTCCTTATATTCCAGTGAATCAGAAGCTGCTTCCAAACACTATTTCACTGTTTTGGACTCGTTTCAGTCCCCTTTGCCTAGGTAGGAGGTGATGGTTGTTGCATATTTCCATTCCCTCACTCTCTATAGGCAGATGAAAAGGATGAAATTAGGAGTCACTCCTGGTGAAATTACACACACTCCTGGTGAAAAGGTGACAGAAAAAAGGAACACTGTTTTGAGTGCAGCTCAACTCTTTCACACATCTGTGGTTGTTTTTTAACCCCCATAGAGGGAAATAATTTTCCTCTGGTCCAATTTTTTTTAAACTTTTTTTTTTACTTTACAGTCAAGCCTGTAGACCCAGGACTACCTGATCACCTGTAATCCAGTTGCTGGGCTTGTGTGTTCTTGGATTCAACCAAAATCTGCTAGTGACACTACCTATCTGGGTAAACTAATTCATAACATGTAAAGGCAATATAAGAAGCCTCTTATATTCTCTATAAACTCTATATTCCCTGGAACCAACTCATATTGAACTCAATACACTTTTCTTTTGAGGTAGAGTTGAACTTTAATGAGGCTTCAGCTTCTACCCTGAGTGGCACTAAGGGGATTAAACAATTATGAATTATAATTCTTTTTCCTTGCATTTCCATCTAGTACTGTAGGTTCTCCCAGCTCTTCTTTTAGATGACTGGTTTACGAAGCAATTATAGGCTGGAGGAAGTTAACTTGCCTGGGAGAGTAAAGTAAACAATTAAAGCCCATCCAAATAAAGTTAATCTGTCAGGAGAACCAGGGATAAGAACAATAGGGGTGAGATAAGTGAAAAAGTGCCAGCAAATACTGCAAACCCCAATGCCTTTCTAGTTCTTAGAAAGAATTGTTTAAATTCACTGCAGAATGTAAAGCCGATGGCCAGAGGGAATCTGCGGCAGCAAAATCAAGCAAATGTGGTGCTTAGTTTTGAAATTGGCCCCCTTAAGGAGATGGGATGGTTGATCCTTTGTAGTGGGGCCCAAGCAAGCATACCCAGAAAATAGAACCACTAACATATTTCAGACTTCTACCCCAGACTCATGTCTCTTTTGCTAGAAATTTCTCAGGGGCATTTATTTCCAGCTACAATGTTTGAGCATTTTAATATTTTGTAAATGACATCCTTCAGTTCTCTCCTGTTCTATGAATGTGAGCAAATGTGCTTTATCCAATCATCTTCCTTCACAGTGGCAGAAATGTTTGGGGTTGCAATCTTTGGCTTCAGTCCCAGAGCTACAGCTTACTTGTTTGGAAAACTGGATTAGAGGCTTAGATTTGTTCTTAATTTATGGATCTGGCCGATGTGCATCTCCCATGTTACCATGAAAGGCCATCCAGTATCTTTTGGCTTCTCCTGTAGAAAATATAGGAGAGGGTTGAACCAATATATCACATTTGCTCAGGATTAATTTTGCTATCCTTTTCTCATTGCTGCGTACAAAACCATAAACCAAGCAGACTCGGCTGCATTTTTAACATTGAGTTAAAGGTGTTCAGCTAATTTGTGGTTCGGTGCGGGATGGGAACACACCAACTGGCCTAGAAGAGCTGGAAGTGGAGCAGAAGTGATGACTGCTCAGGCCCTGCTTTGCTCAGAAATGTTTGGAGAGACTCCATGCCTATTATCTTCTTTCCTAAAAGACTTTGGATTCTTCCCCCTGCAGAGCAATAAGAAATGGGCAGGAAAAAGAACGATACAAATTCATAGGTTTACTTTGGAGCCAACCCCATTACTTCAAGGAAAATTGACTCCCTGAATAGTTAAAACATTCCCTTGAAGTCCAGCTCCTGGGAACTTCATCCAGGAATCCATGTGATTTGCTTGGCAACAGTACCAAAATGGGTTAACGTTGTCTCTTTTTTTTCCACTGGGATCTTTCCTTTTTCCTTCCTTCCTGCCTTCCCTCCCAGTCTAACCTACAGCCTTGAGATTTCTCAATTCATGTAGTATTTGGAGATTAGCCAAACTTGGCTAAGCATAAGAATGTAGCTTGTTAATTCAGTCATATGTATATTTATGTGGAAGAAAACTGTCCTGGATGAAGTGGGGCTTCCTTCTCAGTTAAAGGTTGTAAGCCTCCCTTGTCACATATAAATATGACTGGTTTATTAATTAATGACGTTGTAAAAATAAAGTTTAAACCCTGTTTGGGCCACTTGCCTTAATAACCTCTCTCCCCATCAACCACACACACACACACACACACACACACACACACACCATAAAGTCAGAACAAAATGTATATTGGGCTTTTGTGTCTCCATCTAATTTTTATAGTTCTAAATTAGTCTTCCCTAAACTACCTACAGGGACTCATAGCCCAGCATATTTGGAAGGGATCGCATAAGGGAAGCCTATGCTGGAATACAGACGTGGTGGTACTGTGTACTATTCCAATTAACTTTTGCACTGAAATTGGAGACCACGTTCCCACTACTTGTCTGTGAATCACTTGCTTTGGCAACCAGGCACCATAAAGAGGATGGTGTTTTTCTTCATAGCAGCCTTGTGGGAGCCAGTTTGGTGTAATGATGAGACCCCAAGCAGCTAAAGAAGGTCACAGAAGGTGACTGTGGGGCAGACTTTTCTCTTTCAGCATAAGGGTGAGTTATTGTGAGGATAACAGAAAGGGAGAAATTCATGTAATCTAAGCACTTTGAGAGCCGGAGGAATAATAACAGATTTTCCTTTCCCTGTCACTCTTTTAAAAAGTAGGTCGTGGTGCCTTGCGTTATTGGGCACACGGTACCCAAAAAGGACTGGTTGGGAACCTAATGCCATGAAAATAAGAATAATAAGAATATGAGAATTAATAATATTAACAATAACAATACTAGTCAGTGGTATTTGTGATGCATTTTTGAATGTTCAGTTGACTGAGTTTCATGTTTAATGAATTAAGTAAATAATAATAATAAAATAATTATAATAATAATGGAAGAGGAAGAGAGGAGGAGGAGGAGGAGGAAGAGGAGAAGGGAAGGGAAAGGAAGGGAAGGGAAGGGAAGGGAGAGAAGGAAAGAAGGAAGGAAGGAAGGATAATCAATAGTTTCACCAATAGTAATAGGAGCCCTTGGAGCGATACCCAAAGGGCTGCCTAGATACATGGAACTTTTGAACTGATTAGACCTGATTGTCGGGGACTTTGCAAAAAGCCACTCTAGTCGGAACTGCCTATATACTCCGATGCTACCTTAACAGCTCTTAGGTCCTTGGTTAGGACTTGAACTGTTAAGTTTTTACCAGTCCCAGACTGCGAATCGAATTGAAGATTAACAATAATAATCATTTTTCAGAAGCAAATATTGGGGCTCCCTCTGCCGCCAGGCTCTTCAGTCAACGTGCCTGAACCCGCCCTTCCACACAGAGTGGGGGACGCCAGTTTCTCAGCTAACAAAGCTTGGCTGGTTGGAAGGACGGGGGGCGTCGGGTCCAGCTCGCCTGTCGATAGGCTGGCCTAACCAATCGGGACTGGAAGGATTCCTCTCTCGGCCGGCCCCTGACCGGACGTCTGGTAATTTTCCCCAACCCGTTTTATTTTGGTCCTTATGATGTTGGAGGGACGCTGTCTCAGCCTTCTGCCAGAAAGAATGTCTCCGCCTGGACGGGATGCTTATTGACAAGGCAGCTGCGAGGGGACCGGAACGGGAGTCTTTAAAGTCCTCCCCCTCCCCAACACTTGCACGAGGAGCCCCCCCCCAACCCTAAATCTTCGAACAATCGCGCAGCACCTTTTCCTTTCCCAGCAGCGGGAGAAAAGGCTCCGACGCCCAGCGCGCTCAGGTTCCCCCTGAAACGGGGGACCGCTCCTGTCGCCGCCGCCGCCGCCGCCGCCGCCTTTGCTGAAAGGGACGCTGCTTATGGCTTTCCAACAAGGACTCGGGGGCCGAAAGGTCTGAGCCCATTTTATACCTGCAGGACTGGCGGGCCGGCAGAAAGCCAGACCGAGACGAAATGGGTGCAAATGGTCTGCCGCCTGACCGCTCTTGGTCTCCCGTCCGCTTCCACAAAGGCTGCTTGGCGCGCTGCGCCGGGACTCTTCCTCAAAGACGCGCTCGCCTAAGGGCTGCCTAAGCTGGGACTCAAAATCGCGCAGCCCCGAATAGGAACTCCGCATCAGCCGCCCCGAGAATTCGGGTTGCCGGCTGGCCCCGCCGCCCCAGCGCCCTTCTCAGAAACGGAGGAAGGTCTCGGTTGATTCCAGTCGCGATTTAGGGCAGGCATCTTTTTACGAATAACCAACCAACGGCCGTTTCTCAGAGCGACCGGCACGTAACTACTCGGTTCGCGGCGAAGGGTTCCGTTTGGGGCTTGGGTTTCTTTCCTTCTTTCGAGAAAGGCGCCCGGATGGTTCCTTGTGAAAAAGAAAGGAAGGGGGAATAGAGGCAAAGATTTGGCTCCGTTTGATACACCACCAGGGGTCTCTACCTGCAAATTCTCCTCGCTCGCTTTGATTAAAACCATTATTTTGTCTTCTTCCAATCCATGGGCGACGGGGCTGTATGGGTGACGGGGCTGTTGTCAGCCCAGTACCCTGCAAATCGGTGGGTGGTGGGGAGCGTGAGCGCGCGCGCGCACACACAATCTATACAGACCATTGTCTTGCTGAAGATGATGGGTATTTGAGTCAAACAGATGGATAGCACAAGACTGGGAGAGATTTTACAGTATCCTTCCTTCCTAAAATAATAAAACATAAATAAACAATCACAAATCTTAGCTGACGTTATTTTATGATTCAGCAGATGAGCAAGAGAGCGATCAGGCTTCTTACTCTTCTTGCAACTGGCAGTTAATTTCGTTTATCCAGAAGTTCTAATTTAATCTCGATCTGTTTTAAGTCATAATCATGGTCGGACTGACCATTTTCAAACCAATTCTGGCCATATTTCTCTAAAATAGATGGGATTCGGCATTTCACTAAGACTTAATTTGGTTGTTTGTGCTTAGCCTGAAATCAGCCATTGTTGCTTGTAAACCACGGTTTACAGCTGGATTGCACAACTGGAGTCCCAAGGCTTCCCGTGGCACTTTGCTGTAAATTGTAAAAAGGAGGAAATGATAAATGTATCGGAATTAATCATATTCATTGCATTTAATAAATCAAAAATTAATTAAATTATATCAAATGCGTTTTATTTTATTTTTCCTAGCTCGTTTTCAAATGTGGCAGGCATTCCAGATGGATCTGTAAAAGCAACCTATCTCTTATGCTTGTGCACTGAGGTGTGAAGTTAATAAATTGTGGTTTAGTCAGCAAGACCCAAGTTTGAAAACCTGTACGTCCGGCCCTGAGTTTTGTGCAGGAATAGCCCACCGTGCGCCAAATAATCTGGACTACAACTCCCACAATCCCCAACCAGGAAGACCCGCAATAAGGAGAGGTATGATCTGGTATGAAGCTGAAGTACATGTGGCATTAGCGTATCCAGAGTTCAGCCGGAATGGCTACGATACCAAATGGGCGAAAGCACAGTAAAATAACTCCCTTATTATCTTTTACTCAACAAATCAGACTGACCGACCACCACTGCCTGTGAAATTAAGACCAATTAAAATGCCCTTAAATCCTCTGTGTTTATTCAGGAGCGGCCCTGAATTCCAGAGGATCTTCTCCCTTTTTAAGTACCAATTGCAGTTTTCATGGAGTAGGTGCTGGCTAAGCTGGAAAGTTTAGACACGGGGTCCCCAAACTTGCTGGCTATGCTGGCTGGAGGATTCTGGGAGTGGAAGTCCACAAGTCTTAAAGTTGCCAAGTTTGGAGACCTCTTGCTTGGACAATATCCTATAAAAGCAGAACCCTTTTATTGAATGGCATTACTTTTTTAACTATGTGTGGAGGAGGGAAATCCGCTGCATTTTATCATTACAACCGAGCACACGTCTTGGTTAATTTTAAAGTAATTTTAGCTACAATTCTCTTTGGCTTTTCTTTGGTCAAGGGAAGTTTCTATATTTCTGCAAGGGTACTATAGCAGACGGCTAACCGGGAATGCTGGGAAACGTAGTCTGAGGATATCTGGAGACCATGGATTGAGAAGAGGAGAAATGAATACGCCTTTCCCTTGTAAATCAGCCTAAGGCTGCAACTTGAAGCAACCTGGGCTGCCTGATCAAAAATTCTCCCCAAGCAGTGTGCTTTGCCGGAGGCTGCAGTCCCAGACAAGCGGACCTAGAGGCAGGCCCGCTTAAACCCAGCGCCACTTCCATCCAACACCCGATACCCTCCGACCTCTTGGACTTCCGCCTGAGTTTACATCTGGACAAGTGGGTGATTAGTGCGCATTTCAAACACAGAAGTGGCAGAATTCGGTGAGCAGAATTGGCAGGCTTCTTGGAACTTCTCAAATTGACTTGCCCATAGAGTAAAGGGGGAGTGGAGGGACAGGAGACCCCCCCCCCCCGCTCAAGTCCACCCCATCTTCTCTTAGGGAGGCTCCATAGGTGTCTTTGGGCCAGTCTCAGCCCAACCTTCCCCACAGTGTTGGTGTTATGGGGAGAAATAGAAGAAAGGAAAAATTGTGGACATCGCCTAGAGTTTCTAAACACCAGGCGGTATAAACATCTAAACCTAATATATAGGAAGCTGAAATCTGTACCTTGTGTAGTGTGTGTGTGTGTGGTTTGTGGATGTGTGAGCGTGTCTGTAATCTTTGAGCCAGACCCGCTTTCCCGCCCTGTTTCTTTACAGTTAAAAACGCAGAACTCGAAGTGGGGCTTGGGGGAGAAGGGAAGAAAAGCTCCAGACGGGACTGCCCTCCCTTCTCCTCGTTTATTAATTAAAAATGAAGGGATTTGCAAAATGCGGCCAGCAAACTGCAGCAAGTAACTCAAAACTCCAACGATTTCCGACCCTGGAGAAGAAGAGGAAATACAAAACCGGGCCATTAGCAAATGAGTTTTGTGTTGTGCTTCTTTTCCCATCCACTTGCTGTTCTGAAAAATAGATCACATTTCGTTATCTTTAGTGGGAATCTGAAACGTGATACCGGATCTCACCCGCCCTGGCTGCTAAACGCGGGGAACGAGAGGGAGCGAGGGCCAGTTGCTTGGTTGATTTCTAAACAATAAAGGGCTTGTATTTTGTTCTCTCCTCCTCCTCCTCCCAAATTAAAAAGCCAGAGAGAAAAAGCGAGACTGTGGGGCATTTCCCATCTTATTTAGTGCCACCCTTTAAAAGCATTTCCGCCCAAAGTGACTGGAAAAAAAACAACAACCGAACAAGGCTTTGAATGGACTGGTTGGGCAGTCGTGGCTGTCCAGACACCTGTAAAAACAAAGCGGGTATTACTGAAAAGAGGAGGAGGAGGAGGAAATAAAGTTGTAAAGTTGTTTATGGACATTTGTTCAGCACAGAGGTCCAAAAGCCCTTCCAGAAGGGAGTAGTAGTCTTTGAATGTGTGAAAGATTTCTGGGTGCACTGTCTTCACCCTACCTTCTCCCTGTCTCTCTCCTATTCACACATCAGGGAGAACATGAAGTGAGAGAGCAGGTGAGTATGAATGTTTGTGATCTCATCATTGTATGTGGGCTGTAGTGTTCATCTAAGCAGGGCTGCCATTTGAGCCATAATTGTTATAAGTCCCATGGAAAACAATGAGACTTACACTCTGAGTTAAGACAGATAAAAGATCCTCAGTGATTGAGTAGGGATGGTGGGCTCTGAAGAATAGCACAAGTGCACCTCTCCTTCAGGAAGCCGAATTAAAATGGTCTCAGGTTGCCCATCTTGCAGCTTCACTCATTCTGCATAATCCTCCCTTCCCAACAAAAAGTTCAGCCCAAATCCTTGGATTACATGGACATCAATATCTGAGGGAGTAGAAAGCACAAAAAGGCACATCAAGGGCTGTTCCATGGAATCTGAATAGGAACAAACCAGGACCCAAGAAAATAAGTGCAAGACATCTCTTGAAGCTGGGCTGCAAGACTGTCCACAGGATTGTGAGTAGGGTAGGCTGCGACTATTCTGATCTGAGACCATGGTGACAATCACAACCATTGTGGAGTTTCTCCTGTAAGATTTTGCATATTCAAGGCACTTTGCACACACCATGCCTATCACACAATGTCCCCCCTAGGTAAACCAAGATTCCTCTACTGCAGATGAGAGTTAAAATTGGCTGAGAAAAATGTAGCAAGGTCATGGCAGATGTATAGTTTGAACTCTGAAGATACAAGCATCTGTTTCTTATCTCTATGACACCAAAATGATGTACAGGTGGCCCTCAATTTACAACAGTTCATTCGGTGACTGAAAAAAGTGACTTAGGACCATTTTTCACATTTTGCAGCATTCCTGTGATCACATGATCAACATTCAGATGCTTGGCAAATGACTCCTATGGTATATATGACAGTTGCAATATCCTGGGGTCATGTGATCACCTTTTGCGACCTTCTGACAAGCAACATCATCAGGAAAGCCAGAATCACTTAACAGCTGTGTTACTAACTTAGTAACTGCAGTGATTCACTTAGCAAGTGTTGCAAGAAAGGTCATAAAATGGGACAA